CTCCCACACCGTTTCGTCTTCTGGTTTCATAAACATTTTGTGGACATGGAAGAAAATTAAAGTTTAGTTTTATATACGTCCATTATAGAAGGTATTATTATGCGCAATCAGACAAAGTAAAAAAATACAAAGCACCGTGATTTTTAAAAAATTCTGTTGTGTTGTAATTGGGCAGGCTCCAGAAGACAGTTTTCGTCATTTATTTAGATTCCAAAGTGTCCTTTCCTACGTTTGGCAGCAAGGAACTCCTCTATCGCAGCATCAATGTCAATTGGCATATCTCGGTGAATATGAAGAATTGACAATGACGAAAGACGCTCCTGTCCCGTTGTGCAACGTAGGTGCGTCTTCACTCTGCGGAGGGAACTGAATGAACGCTCTGCTGACGATGTGGAGACTGGCATGGTTACCAGTATTGCGAGCATCGTCCAGACACAAGGGCACAGCTCGCGGTTAGTTAGTGGAAGCGTTTCCTGCAAAGAAGCAGGTTTGATGGTGTTTTGAATGTTCCATCTCACAGTCCATCGCCTAATCTCCTCTTCAAATGTCTCACGACCCTGAAGATTGAGAATATGTCGGGCGTGATTTGTTGCAGACATGTGGGCACGAGAAACTGGGCAAGGAATCTGTCCTGCACCTCCCCGCCAAGCAGTCTGCCGGTCAACTCTTGAACCAAATGGTCAAGGAAGGGTAAGTACAGAGACCGTTTACAATACTCATTTGGATTGTCGGCAGGAACATTTGCCCTGTTCCTCTGTCTGCCGGCCATTCTGGGCATAGACGGTTGGACGTCAAATGTGTCTGCCAAATCTGATGCCTTTTGAAAAAGTGCATCCTACACTGCCGGGTCCTCCCTCTCATGTTGCAACACATTAACAACAACCTCACTTTCCTTGGCAGCTTCCATTAGGTTACAGTTAACTTTCTGCAGGAATGTCTGGAGGAATGTGTATAGAGAGTCGGCTCTACTCGTCCAGCGGGTTTCACAAAGAGTCCGTAGTTTCGTTCTCTGTTCCATTTGCCCCCTAGTGTCTGCATCATTTTTAAGTTCATCAACGAAGGCATGCAATCTTTTGGATGAATAGTCAAATGCAAAGGCGATCTCTTGAACTGTGGCCATGACGGTCTGCACCGCTGGTTCTTTACAGCTATGAACAAGGGCAAGATTTAAGCAATGCGCTTTGCAGTGAACATTTACGGCCTCTGGAACAACCTGGCGAATTCTAGCCTGTACTCCTCGGTATCGTCCCGACATGTTGCCGGCACCGTCGTATCCCTGGGCACACATCTTATTGACATCAACCCCGTACTTCCGGAGTGTCGACAACAGTAAATCTGCAAAGGCCTCTCCAGTGGTCCCCTCCGTTGCTTCCATAAATGCCACAAACTCTTCCCTCAGCTCATGTCTATTACCCGGGTAAAAAACCGGACACAAATTGTGACCTGCTCCTTCGTGGATTTATCTGTTATCTCGTCAGCCAATAACGCAAAATGTCCGCTTTAGTTGCAGTCTACAACAAGCTTTTTCTGGATTTGAGAACCTACTATCTGGATTATCTCATTAATGCAATGGTCATTTCTAATCTTCATACATTTTTGTACTTACTATTAACACTGTATCATATCTGAGGAATTACATATGTATACTATATATCCAAAACCTAAACTCCACTTTATAGTATCAGCAAGAAAAACAAACGTCATGAAAATCTAGACTTGTCAAAATCATGTGCACGCCCGCGCTTATTGGCTTACATGGTGGCTACGCGCCTGTTTATATGCCATAGCATGTGCATATGCTCAACGAAACAGTCTAATATGGCAATTAATTGATATAGATATACATGTATATAGGTATGTGGCTTAAAATATTTAACGCGAAAGTGAAGCGAATGAGTTGTCGAATTTCAGTGCAGATGCCGGTATGGACAGCTTTCTAGCATTTGTAATGTTCTTCATTTAGCCCTGTTGTAATCATAAATACCAGTATAATTCACGAAATTGGTGATAAGTACACATTCAACGAAATATTCAAGTCATGACACATGGTTTGAAACATGTACGTGCAATGTAAATTTTACATTTCCATGTACGTGTATGCTTAATCTTAAGTTGACAATGCGCGCAAACAACAAGTCTCCGAAAAAGATACAATGTTGTACACTGCTACGACACCGACCTCAAACGTTCTATCAACTGGCTCAGATGCAGTGAGTGACTCGCTGAAACAACCGTTCGGTTTGTGGGCGTGTTCTTTTTGAACACGGCTTGTTGACGCCGTGACGATTTTGATATTCCAGGGTTGCAGAAAGCGAAAGTGAGCGTAACCCCTGGTATCGAGGATGAAATGCAAGCAATATCTTCACTTTTAGGCGTTTTAAAAAAATCTTTCAGAAGTTTCCATTCAGAACAAATCGGACCGTAGAATCAGTTTTGCTATTTTGCTGTGTATAATTCTTACATGCACAATGTGCAAAATATTGAAAGATTTACCCATCATGACATGACAAAACACGTCTTATTTTCCATCATTGGACATTTGCTTCAACAACCTGTTATAGAGGCTAATTTAATTATATACAGTGTAGTTATATTAAATATTAGAATAATGTTTGCCGACATGCTCTAGGACAAATTACTGAAGAAAAAAACTTTGAACAGAAATGTTTAATCTGAAAATTTATCGTTTATACAAATTTAGCATACAATTGGGCAAGACTGTATTCATACATAGAATTGTCGACATACAATTTATGGCAAGTCCTAAGTCTAAGTCTCAAATGTGTCAATAATGTCCAACGCAGGAAATAGATCTCCATTCACAAACTCTATATTTTGACGTTTGATCGTATTCAGTATTAAACCATTTTTCTGCCACCGCCACATATTTGCACTAAAATTAAACAGAACAAAACTGGTCTATAGAGCCTTCTTTTATTAAATCGGAAGTTCACGTAAAGAAAGCTGGAGAACATGACAGCGAAAAATGTATCACGCGCTTGCGTGTTAGTGCACTAAAAAAAAATAAAAAAAATACTCAAACTTCTATGAACATTGATTGATGTATTTATTTAACCTTACATTTACAATTATGTTATTAAATTATAAAGTAAACTAGTACGGTGTACTGAGTTTTGTGGTAATGATACGTTAAAACTATGGCCTTGTCAATATATTTATAGCTACACGTCATGAATCATTTAAGAAATATTATAAACAGGACATATTTAATAACAATATGTACATAGTCGACAATAACAATAAGGAAATATTTATTTCCTGTTAGGCCACATGATATATGTATTGTAAGCAGATTGTCAAATATTTAAACACACTTATGCTGAACTGAGACCGATACCTCTATTCTCGGTAATATTATTTTAATGTATAATTGTTCTCGCGAATTCTGCGGTAGCTAATTTAACGGTAATTATGTTAAGGAATTATCACCATTACAAGAAACTTACGTGCGCGCAAATTAATTTCTCCTGATATGAATACTACTCTGTAGGACTTCATCTTTAACGTAACTACTACTATTAATGCACTCTGGTGTGTTCTAGCTATAAGGAAGAATGCTGTAATTATTTCGAAACATGTAATTGAACTATAATAAAATAACATTTTCAAATAAATCAATGATAAGATTCGCTGGTGATACTGATCTATTTTCCGAGTCAGCCTCTGGTTTACAGGACATGCTAGACTCTTTGAAACAGTACAGCGACAACTGGCAGTTTACGGTAAATATTGATAAGAAAAAAAATGTTGTCTTCCGAAATAGTGGCAACTTACATGTAAACACTAAATTTTATTTTGAAAATAAAGATAAAGATATTGTTAATAGTTATAACTACCTAGGTATTACATTAAATTTGAATGGCAAGATTACAAAAACTCCATTTATTATTGCCGATCAAGGACGCAAATGTATGTTAAACATTTGTGAAAATATGAAACAATTTATCCCTCAATGTCGAGTCAAAGCTAAAGGTGTTTGATGTCTATATGTCTCCACTGTCCTTAGTTATGGTTGTGAAGTATGGGGTTTTAATGCTGCCGATAAGGTTGGAAAAGTACATGTAAAAAGAACACTGAATGTTAAAAGGAGTACTCCCTCTTTTATGGTGTACTCGGAGCTAGGGCGTTCATCTTTACACATTATGCGTAAGTGTCGAATAGTTTAATATTGGCTGAAATTAATTAAATCTAACAATTGTGTTCTTAAGTCAGTATATGAAGATAAGGATGAATGTAATCACAGAAACTGTAACTGGCGCTGCCAAGTCAAAAATTTGTTAGTAAAACCAGGTTTCGATGATGTTTGGTTAAATCACTATGTAGTAAATGAAAAGGTGATTTTACAATAATAATTTTATTCAAAAACGGAACGAATTTGTCGAAAATTCATCAAAATGATTTTTGTACAAGTTTTTGACAGATAGTTTTACGCTCCAGTATTATTTGACAAAGTCTATTTCGGATGTTTACCTTAGATTAATTTCTAAATTTCGACTATCGTCGCATCTTGTAATACCCCAAGAGTAAATAAAATATGTAATTATTGTGATCAACACTCAGTAGAGAAAGTATTTCATAATGTTTTAATATGTCTGCTTTATGCAGATTTACATATATGAACATCAATGTAAATTTGAATAAATAGCTAAGTATACAGAAATTACAGCAGCCGTGAAACACAGAATTTCAATCCCTAAAAATATGCTCATATACCACAAAGGGGACAGTATGGCCGTGCAAATCTCTTTATTTTGGGTCGATTTAAGCATTAAGCACCGTTTCCCTGTTTCCTTGGTATGAATTGTACGGAAATCGTCCCTTCATGGACACGCTAATATTAAGGGCTTATTATCATTTTTCCGCGTAGAAGGCATTGCCATGTATTATCACGAACTATCGCCATATTGAAATTGACAGGTTTACAGAAGGAACGTCAGTAACACATCTGTGTATTTCTATGTAGCCGACCGTACGATAACATGGCCGCCCAGACTCCAATAGCTGGATGTACTTATCATCCAGGAATGGGTTTTATCTATATCTGTAGGACATGTGACAATGAACTTCTCTGTACGGAATGTGTTGTGAGTCGTCATAATTCTCACAGCATAGGTAAACTTACTGAATACGTGTTGGAACACAAACAGCATCTCCGGCAACATGAGAACCGGCTTTCTAAAACAGATATTCCGAAGTTTGACGGACAAATTCAGGAAAATGAAGAAAACTTCAAGAAAAGCGGTATAGATTTTAGGAAAATGATCGCGGACATCCAACGTCAAGGGGAACAGATAAAAACAGAGGCAGACAATCTGGTTGACAAGTTAGTAACACTATGTAGATATTTGATGAAGGTAAATGCAAATATCACCGAGAAAAACACAGCCGCACTGACAAAAGTTCTCGGAGAGAAACTGAAACCGCAACTAGAAAGGTGTCAGCAGGTATTGTCTTGCGGATCAAATGTAGACGTCATTTCAGTGGCGACGGAAACTCGAAATACCTGCACCGAAACTGTACCGCCCGATCTACGAGCTTTGAGGACGGCAGCCTTCAAACCCGGGGTCGTTCATAACGACCTGCTGGAACGGATGCTGGGTACAGTACTAGTTGAAGGATGGAACGCGTTATACCAACCTGTTCCACCACACACAGTTGTATCAAGTTTTAAACACCTTTTTATTACGATGTGTGTCGTACAGGTCGTTCAGGTGACGTGGCTTGGCTATCGTTCTGGGACGATGACAAAATATGCGGCGTAGATCACAAGGGGAAAATCAAGGTGAAAATCGAGTGCAAAATCAAAGTTAGATCCATTACCGTATCTCCAACCACGGGGAGGATATGGTTATGTGTGAAGGAAGACAAAAGCATCCGGGAAGTTACATCGAATGGTGACGCAGTGACACGTTTTACCGTAGATGCTGTCCCACGGAGTTTGTGTATCACACAGGAAGACATGGTGGTGGTCGGAATGTATTACGGAATAGCGATGTTCACTAGTGACGGGCAGGCAGTGTCGGATGGAGCGGGCGGTGTCTGTAGACAGGAGGCGCTAGATCCCAATCGCCTGACGTACTGTAGACAGACCGGGGATATAGCTGCTGCTGATACTGACAATGTATCGATTGTTAACTACATGGCTGGTAAGGCACCAGGAAATGAACCCCGGGTCATTGTGATGGATAAAGATCTGAAACTGAAGTTTCAGTGCAAACATCTTGGTGCTATTAAATTACAAGAAGATGGAAGTCAGCAGTCCAAGTTCTTCCCCTTGGATGTTTGCTTTGACGGTACTGGAGATGTTCTCGTAGTGGAAAACGTAACGAAGTCAGTGGTGCTGATTGACGGGAACAATGGACACTTCCTCCGGACAGTGTATATCCCCAGTGGAAGTGGACCTTTGTGTATCAGCCTTCAGGACGACCATACACTCTGGATTGGTCACGTGAATGATGAAATGAAAATAATCCACTACAAGTAGTCACCTGGACAGTTACCGGGTACAGTCACTGCAGCTTTATACAACGTCCTAACTGATGTGTAAACGTTGGACAATATACCATACACTACACGCATCCCGAGTCTTTGCTGTCTTCAAAAAAATTAGATTTGACATACCATTTTAAATTCCATATCTTGACAAAAAAACTCCATGCAGGCAATCTATATCCTGTGCCTTTATGTGACACGAACACGTGATCGATATCCGGGACCGATATGTGATACAAACGTTTTGTCTACATCCGGAACCTTTTTATGTGATCCTAACATTTAGACTATTTCTGGGATCTGTGTGTGATACAAAAACATGTAATACTGACACGTTATCTATATATCTGGGACCTGAGTGTAATACTGACACGTGATCTATATATCTGGGACCTGTATGTAATACCTACACGTGATCTATATATCTGGGACCTATATGTTATACCAACATGTGATCTATATATCTGGGACCTGAGTGTAATACTGACACGTGATCTATATATCTTGGACCTGTATGTAATACCTACACGTGATCTATACATCTGGGACCTATATGTTATACCAACATGTGATCTATATATCTGGGACCTGTATGTAAAACCAACATGTGATCTATATATCTGGGACCTGTATGTAATACCTACTCGTGATCTATATATCTGGGACCTATATGTTATACCAACATGTGATCTATATATCTGGGACCTGTATGTAATACCTACAGGGGATCTATATATCTGGGACCTATATGTTATACCAACATGTGATCTATATATCTGGGACCTGTATGTAATACCAACATGTGATCTATATATCCGGGACCTGTATGTAATACCAACATGTGATTTATATATCCGGGACCTATAAACACGTTATCTATATATCTGGGACCTGTATGTAATACCAACATGTGATCTATATATCTGGGACCTGTATGTAATACCAACACGTTATCTATATATATGAGACCTATATGTAATACCAACACATGACCTTTATATCTTGAACCTGTATGTAAACCCAACACGTGACCTTTATATCTTCGACCTATATGTAATACCATCACGTGATTTATATAACCGGGACCTGTATGTAATTAAGATATATATATCCGGGACACTTACTGTTATTTTACTTTTATACTCTGATGACTTAGTGTTGTTTTCATGAATATTTATCAGAGTGTTAACACTGATAAAACTAGAAGTATTGTCTTCCGTAATGGCTACAGAATTTCTGAAGATGAAATCTAGATGTATGATGATACACCTATTGAAGGATATTGTGGATGAACTTTGATATTTAGGTCTCCAATTTAGATCTGATAATAGCCTGAGTATTGTTCAAAGCTATTGATTTGGTCAAGATAAAAAAACCTGTTTGCGATGTAGTCTAAATGTAAAAAGAAATAGTTTATATATTAAAACAATGTTAAATATTTTTGGCACCTATGTTAGAGGTATTTTATGTTATGCATCTGAGATATGGAATTTTAGAAAATAGCATATAACCGAAAAGGTGCATTTGGATTTTTGTAAGATATTATCGGGATTAAAAAGTTTCAACATCTGATGCCATGGTATATTTTGAAAGTAATAGATATCCACTAGAAAGTATGATATTCTTGTGTATTTTCGAATACTGCATGGTTTTAGATTTTAAACACATATAATTGTATACTGCAAGTATTATACCAGGAAATGCTTCATTTGGCAAATGTTAATCTTTATTACAAAAATAAATGGGTATCTTTTGTTATTCGTAAATTGTTTTCCCTAGGTCTGGCTAACTAGTGGATTGGTCAGCAAAATAATGTTGTAAAATCCGCACTATCCATGGAAAGAACTTTTGATCAAACCCAGCAAACTTGATAGGTTTTATTAATACTCGTCTAAAATGCTTTTGATACTGAAACAGTGTTGATAATTTTTGTTGACAATTTTTACTTAAGAAAATCGGGAATTTTATTTTCAAAATTAGGTTTGTCCTAGAGCTGGCATTGCTTGTCTGTCTAGACAGGGAGATACCATAACACAAAAGATCACAGAGGTTCTGTACTCATTGTTCATTAAATGTGACTGAGGATGAGTACCATTGTTTTACTAATATGTCCTATATATTAGATAATAAGAGTTAAATTCATTAAGAAGCACTACTGACGTAGGCCATCTGTTTTCAAGTTAACTCGGCAATCAAGTGTACGGAATAATGAGGAATTGAATCATTTAGGTAAGTTTATTTCTTGAAGCAAAACATATTGGATCAAGAAACCATACTTAACTGATTGTGTGTAATGGTTTTTAGAACGACACTGTCTTATGATTATATGTGCCAGTATCTTTGTATACTGCTGTCTCTTTGCACTGAATATTGTATGCTATGATATTTATGTAATCAGCTGATTAGCAAAATGCTCAAGGCTTAATAAAGAACTTCAACTAGTCCATTTCCGTGTTATGATATACATACCAAATCATTGAAGCACGACTATGTTTATCTATACAGTATATATATAAAGAAAAAACCTTAATAACGAGTCTGTAGAACTTTCATCTCGTCAATAATAATAATATACAACATTTATATAGCGCCCTATATAATTTATAAAATTACTCTAAGGCGCTTTACAACATATGGATAATAGTAATAATTATAATTGTGAAAACAAACAACAAAGGCTTGCAATCACTTTCATACATTTGACAAGCAATGTGCACATAATTGAACAAATAAAAGGGTGGTATTTACGTGACGTCTTTGCAAAGATTCTAAAATGCAGACGTGGAGAGGTGAGTTTTTATGTCCCTCTTGAACCTGGCCAGGGTATTTGACTTCCTAATAGCAGATGGCAAGCTATTCCACAACGTAGCCGAAACCCTAGCCTCCCAAAGCATCTGTTTCCGTACAACTGTAGGTCACAGTACGAGATTTTGGGACACACAACAAAGATCCTGACTCCGACCGCAGTGATCTTGACGGCTGGTACAGGGTAACAAGTTCCTGTAACAAGGAGATTAAATTGTTAGTCTATGAGTCTGAAGAATCTCTTGAAGAGATGAAAGTACTAAAGACTCGTTGTTGATATTTTTTCTTTTTATATTATTTCTGCGCCCGTAAGGATAATTTTTCTGCTTTTATAATATAATGGCTTTAGGGTGGAGGTCTTACTCATTTCCAAGTTGTGAACCAAGTACCTCTGTGAGTACATACTATCATGACTGTCTGTTCTTGCAGATTTTCCAGCATTAGCATTCTGTTTGTCTTTCATTCCTTCCCTCCCCACAAAATGTTTCTGTGTAGTGGTCGGTTGTAGGTGTTCCCTCGCAGATTCCTGAATTTCATATTTCCCAACTAGAATATATAAGATAAAGTTATATTCAGTGTTATCGACAATTTATACCTAGGTTTCATGTTAAAGATGTTTTATTTTGGACTAAAATATATTTCCTGAATACCGTGTACATTGTACGGCAGTATGCCTTGACATTTTCGTCACAGTATAACGTTTACTTTTCCACACTCCGTGATGAGGGCAAATTTATCATTACAGCAATAAATTAGTTGCACAGCACACCACATATAGAAACAAGGCAAATTGTTGCAAGACAATCCATAGTTCCCCACCGGGAATGATTTCGATATTTTACAAACATTACACTTTTGTCAGGATGCATCGGTCATAGTGACCAACTTCTTGCACTCCGTCATCCCAAGATGTCCTTCGACACCAACTCTGGTTACTCCAGGTGAAATAGTATAAAAGATGTGCCCTGGACAAACATTTTCAAAAGTTAAAGTTAAAGGTCAAGTCATAGATCACAGTGACCTAATTCTTGCACTCTGCACACCGTCATCCCAAGATGTCATTGAACATCAATTCTGGTTACTCAAGTTAAAAAGAGTAAAGAATATATGCCCGAACAAACTGTTTCAAAATTTAAGGTCAAAAGTCAAATTATAGGTCATAGTGACCTTCTTACACTCTGCACTTTGCCATCCCAGGATGTCCCTGTACACCACATCTGGTTATTCCAGGTGAAATAGTATAGAAGATATGGCCCGGGCAAACTTTAAAAAAAGTTACGGTCAAAGGTCAAATCGTAGGTCACAGTTAGGTCAAACTGACCTTCTGTTCTTCGTTCACGAAATCTGGTTACTCTAGGTGAAATAGTATTATAAAAGAAATGTCGCCGACTAACTTCGCGGACGGAAAGACTGATTAACGAACGAACGGAGAAAGGCAATGACGTAATATTCGCCACAAACAAATATCTTTGTCATCTTAATGAAGTAAAAAACTCAACAACAAAAAGTTAAAAAAAACTTAATCAAAAACAGAAAAGAACTGAAAATGGAGCAAAAAAACTAACATCAAACCAAAATGTCCGAAAGATTAGGAACATTTTTAGTCATTGATTAATTCTGTAACTTAAAGCGCATGAGTAAAGTGAATTATATGTGTAAGATATCAGTTTTAATGCGAATAAACAATATTATATCAAACTATTTAATGCCAAGTTTAGATGTCCATGTCCGATACAAGTTGCACACGACGCAGGAAGTCGAACCCGCGCCTGTCAGCACACAGAGGTTCGGCCGCTACCGGTTGTGATTAAAACAGATGATGACATTATAAAATCACAAAATCAATATAAATAAGAATAATACCATCAATGTCTAACAAAGCTTATTCCGGGTATTGCATGAACTCATCAAGAGTACCGAAGTCATACGTACATGAAAGTTACAAAATAAACAAAATATAACAGAATTCTCAAGGGCCTTACACTTTTCATATAAAAACAAATTATAAGAAAATATGTGTAACGGCCCATTGCGTTGTAAAGTTTCTACCACAATACGCTGTGTAAACACGCAGACTGTTAGATATTCCACACGTGGTATATGACCTTCAAGAGTTTCCATTGGTCGAGAAGATGAACTTTAACCGGGAGGACTTTTTCCATGCGCCTTTTTCCTCATGCTGTTTTG